TTGTGCTCTATATGCTTCCCACGGTGCCTTCCCATCGACTACCTGGTGCTTCCTTTGTACTGGATCACCCCCTATTGCTGACATTCATATCTAGGATGTGACTTCTAACAGGGTTTAGCTGCGGGGTCTGGAAGGGGCTTGTCATTGTCTGGGGCTGATTAAGTCGATGGTTAATGTATCTAATTCGCTTTTAAATTTACTAATGTTTTCCATATGTACTTCTTGCCACTGTTGTTGACTTTCCTGTAGTTGCTGCTGACTTTCCTGCAACTATTGGAGATTTTCTTCCTGTTTCCTTGTTTGTTCCAGTTGCCACTGCTGTAATCTTTCTTCTTGTTTACTTTCTTTCTTCTCCAATAGCTGTTGTAATCTCTCTTCTTGTTTCTTTTCTTTTTCCTCCAACAACTGCTGTAATCTCTCTTGTTTATTTTGCTGTTCCAGCTACCACTGTTGCAGGTTTTCTTGCAACTGCTGTTGTTTCTCTTCTTGTTTCTTTTCTTTTTCCTCCAACCACTGCTGTAATTTCTCTTCTCGTTTTTCTTGTTTATTTTTTCGTTCTTCTTATTTCTTTTGCTGTTCTTGTATTGCTGCCATCAAATCTGCTAAGCTGTAGTTTGATTTTCCACCTCTCTTTTCCATTTTCTTCTTTTTTTTGTATCCCACTCTCTGACACCAGTTTGTTACGTCTCTGTTTGTTGGTTAACTTTCCGTAAAAATTCTTCCCGAAGAATTCTACCGATACAAGTCCTTTCTTAGATAAAATTGGTTTGTGCTTTCTGAATACAACTGTGCGATACACTTAATTTCAACAGTTGCTTTACAACAAACGCTATAATTCACAACGAAATTCTCACGTGCTCAACAATATTCTTACTCATTACCTTACGTTGCTTCTTAGCCGATCTTATATATATAGAAGACTACCCCAATCTAGTAGTCTCCCGACATTTCATGAAGGTTCGAGAACCAAGTGGCGTGATATCAGCGTCACGTGACCTGTATTGTCGTAACAATATTAATAGTTGTTGTATAAGAAAAAAGGCGTCTATAGTTTTAAAAGTAACTACATAGCTGTTGTATAAGAAGAAGGCGTCTACAATTTTAAAAATAATTAAACAGTTGTTGTAAGTAGAAGGCGTCCATAGTTTTAAAAGTAACTACATAGTTGCTGTATAAGAAGAAGACGTCTATAGTTTAAAAGTAACTACATAGTTGTTGTATAAGAAGAAGGCGTCTATAGTTTTAAAAGTAACTAAATAGTTGTATAAGAAGAAGGCGTCTGTAGTTTTAAAAGTAACTAGATAGTTGTTGTATAAGAAGAAGGCGTCTATAGTTTTAAAAAAAACTAAACAAGTGTTGTGTAAGAAGAAGACGTCTATAGTTTTAAAAGTAACTACATAGTTGTTGTATAAGAAAAAGGTGTCTATAGTTTTAAAAGTAACTAAACAGTTGTTGTAAGAAGAAGGCGTCCATAGTTTTAAAAGTAACTACATAGTTCTTGTATAAGAAGAAGGCGTCTATAGTTTTAAAAAGTAACTACATAGTTGTTGTATAAGAAGAAGGCGTCTATAGTTTTAAAAGTAACTACATAGTTGTTGTATAAGAAGAAGGCGTCTATAGTTTTAAAAGTAACTAAACAGTTGTTGTATAAGAAGAAGGCGTCTATAGTTTTAAAAGTAACTACATAGTTGTTGTATAAGAAGAAGGCGTCTATAGTTTTAAAAGTAACTAAACAGTTGTTGTATAAGAAGAAGGCGTCTATAGTTTTAAAAGTAACTAGATAGTTGTTGTATAAGAAGAAGGCGTCTATAGTTTTAAAAGTAACTACATAGTTGTTTTATAAGAATAAGGCGTCTATAGTTTTAAAAGTAACTTTTTAATTGTGTATATTTATTGAAGGTTATTCATGTAAACGGTATATAACAAATAGTTATTGAGGGAAACCCTTCCTCTTGTGTGAAGCTCATTCTTTGTGTGATTCAGTCGATGAAGACGTATAAGGCTGGTTCTCATTGTTAATTATTTATTAGTGTCTAGTAGTCTTAATCAATAAAGAGAGTTATCAAAATCTTACTGTAAGTAGTTTAGTATAAGACAAGCTAATATTAGACTTGGGTGATCCATGGGAACTATTATCAAAACCTTACTGTAAGTAGTTTGGTATAAGACAAGATAATACTAGACTTGGGTGATCCATGGGAACTATTATCAAAACCTTACTGTAAGTAGTTTATTATAAGACAAGCTAATATTAGACTTGGGTGATCCATGGGAACTATTATCAAAACCTTACTGTAAGTAGTTTAGTGTAAGACAAGCTAATACTAGACTTGGGTGATCCATGGGAACTATTATCAAAACCTTACTGTAAGTAGTTTAGTATAAGACAAGTTAATACTAGACTTGGGTGATCCATGGGAACTATTATCAAAACCTTACTGTAAGTAGTTTAGTATAAGACAAGCTAATATTAGACTTGGGGGATTACAAATGTAGAACAATAAAGAATACTAACATTGGTATGTTCTTAGAAATAAGAGACGCCATCAACCAATCAGCCTTCAATACTCTGTTTATTTTCTCAAAAACGCTACAGTTACTAAACGAGTACTTTCGATTCTTTAAAACTTTAACGAGTCGATATTAGTAAGTTCTCTTGTTTAAAAATCAAACTTACACTCAGTTTTAAACAATAATATACAGTAAGCCACTTATGTCGAGCTTATTACAAAAACACACCAACAGCTAGATAAAAGACTAATGTGTTATAGAGCTGCCTTTGAAACTTTACTAAACCTAACCATATTGGAAATACGGAAGTCTGGTGTAAAGAACCAGCGAATATGTGAAGAGAAAAATATGGCGACTGTAATTTTTCGTTTTCTGCGTTGGATGTTAGAAAAAATGATTGAATTAAAACAAAATAATGGGTTTCATTTTAATCTACTCAGGGTAATTCATAGCACAGCCTGATTATCCACTAAGCCAAAAAAAAAATCAAATTGTGACCCTTCGTCACATTCTTTATTTTATGTCTTCTTCAGAAAATCTTTAAAATCTACTTTTATATTTTAACTGAGGCGTTTGGCAACAGTCAATTGTTCGAATCTCTGTTACCGAACATGCTCGCCCTTTCAGCTTTGGGAGTGTTATAATGTGACGGTCAATTCCACTATTCGTTGGTAAAAAGTAGCCCAAGATTTGGCGGTGGGTGGTGTTGACTAGCTGCCTTTCCTCTAGTCTATTACTGTTAAATTACAGAAGGCTAGCGCAGATGGCCTTCTAGTAGATTTGCATGAAATTCAAAACCAACCAATAACAGTCAATTTGTAGACATTTAAAATGACTATATTTATAATTTTATTGTGATTCAGTTACATTATTATGATGCACTTTAAGTGATTTTATCACGTTATAATTTTTTAATCATCTTTGTTTAAACATTTTATTAAACCTATTCGAGGATTCACGTGCCAAGTGTGGTAGAGTACATTTATCAGCTTAAGTGTATTAATTTTGTAATTAGTTGATCGTCTATAAAGGTCGTAAGTTAGGTGGGTATGAAGGTCCACTTTTGGTCAATCCGGCATTGATTCATAGTCAGATGACCTAGCAGACAATCTTCCTAGACAGTTCATCGATCGTAAATTTATTTGTTGTCATTGCGATGCAGTGGCACGACTTTATTTGTCGTCATTTTGATAAAAAGTTTAGAGAAAAGGACATTTATACTCCAGACATTTATAAAAGAACTTTGATTTTAACTCCTTTTTCGGCTTTATCAGGGTTAGTACGTTGTCGTCATGCAGTTTTGTGATAAGCAAAAGCGCTGATTGGATGTTCCGTGGTCCGTAACGTCAGACTTTCATCGCTTTGTGTCAGACGTTTTCTAAGAATTATGGGTTCCGTTGCCAGTGGCATTGGAAGCGGAGGGCCTGTCCCGGTAAAAATGAATCAAAATAAGGAAAATTACTCTCTTGAAAGCAGGATAATGTATAAAATTTAATCCAGAACTCAAGAGTTTCCAAGCCCTGTACCCCGGCTCGGTGAAACAAACCTGGACCCCACTCTGGTAATGGTTATTATTATACGGCAAGCAGTCATAATTATTTTAGTCCATAGTCAACTGAGTACTAAATTGACTGAAGAAATACACACGCTTAAAAATACCGAGTTTAAGTTGTAAATCAGAATTTTACTTTAGTGTTGTAAAAAATTTCCCTACTTGAACCTAGTCTCTTCAAACACTTAACTAAAATAAATAAATCGAAGCACACAGTTCTTAGAACTAGAAGCAGTTATGTTGAGATACAAAGGCATGCATTAATAAACACCGATATCACGGCCTCGTGGTCACGGTGTTCACTGTTCTCAACGAAGCGATTGTAATGATATCTGCTTGAGACCCTTCTTCGGGTGTTTTCGGAGCAGGTCGCGTGGATCCTCGACAATGGAGTATTTGCTTTATTTCTTGTATCAGCTCCGTGCACATGGATTCCTGAAAAACATGCCATTATTTCAAGAACGAAATGTTAGATTTTTGAAGTGAAGAAGTTAATAGTGTATTAAGAACTTTACACATTTAATTCTAGAAAATTAGAAGCATGAAAATTACGACATAATTTATTGTTTATTAAGTATTAATATTATTTCCGTGACAATCTCAAAATCAAGATGTATTATATCAAAGAGCTACGCCATTAATGTGATGTGTAAAATATGAATATTGGTAATATATATTATGTATCAACTTACAGTTTTCAATAAAACGTTGATACATAATATACTCTATGACGCGTTATTTTTTTCAAGACGAAAACAGTTAAGGTGTTAGAAATTCTAGGTGAGAGTTGTACAGTTTGAAAAAACAACAACAACAAAAAAACATGTTGGAATTCCGCAAACGGTTTTATTTAGATAGGTAACACGTTTCTATGACGTCATTAAAACACTTCCTAATCTTCACTGTTGTTTTACTTCATTGAATTATGGTTGGTTATCACTAACTGTAATTTTGATCAGAAGAATTAAAGAATTAAGAATTAGATTGAATCGATCTAGTATTTCTATAAAACATTTTTATAATGCGATATTACTTGGTTCAGAAGTGTATTAATAAGGAGTAATATGGAAAACCGTAAAAAAAGTATAAAGATAAAGATGTGATGAAATCGTGTAGTGAAAGGTAGAAATTAGTCAATAAATGCAAGATGGCGGCCTCTTCCAATCAAGCAATATGACAAGTAATTGTAATGTGATTAAGTACTCGAATAAAACATTAGAAAGACTTAAAATACATTATTTGGTGAATACCAGTGGTTTTAGAAAAGTTAATACTCAAATGTTTAACAATTATAATTATCTTAAGATTTTATATAGTAAGCAATGGATTGTTGTAAACTATGTTTCCAGCTGGTTGGTTTAGATGTTCTTTTCCTATAAGGAGCAGCTAATCATGATGATGATGAAATAGAATACCATGATTGTGAAATGATTGAGAAGCTTTTTGAAATATTTAGAAACAAAGGGACGTTAAAAATATGAGCAATGAATGAAAAGTTAATGAGCAGTTTAAGAGTTTAGTGTCAGAAAAGACGTTCACAGTTTAGTGTTAAAAATAAGATTTATTGACTCTGTTAGCAAGGAAATTCTGTATGTTCATTTGTGCGTTAAGCATACTGTTACGACAGCGGAAGTCACATGACGCTAGTAACACGTCATGATATTCTCGAAGGTTCGTGAATGCTCGAGTTTTTGCTAGATGTGCGGTATTCTGGTATATAAGTGCGCCAGACAATGAATCGATATGGAATAGCGTACAGAGAGATTGAAGATATAGACGGGCAATTGAGTCAAGCGCGGTAATAAGTAAAGTGCGTGAATCGTTCGTTGAGAATTATAGCGTGTGTTTAAGTGACTGTGGAAATTAAGTGTATTGCAGAGTTGTAGTGAGAAAGAATAAACTAGTTTCATTTAAGACAGGACTTATATCGCTAAAGTTTCTCGGGAAGAATTTCTACTCGAAATTAACAAACGAGCACAGACGTAACAACATGATAAAAAAGCTATTGGAGATGTAGAGGGGGACTACAACAACAAGACTAAAGTACAGAGAGGCTGTAATGACAAAAATTGAAAAAATACAGAAATATTACAACATTGAAGTTGCAGATATACAACTAACAGCACTATCCAAAAGTTAAGGGATCATTAGATCAAGTAGTATTGAAATATCAACTCCCCTGACTCTAGTGTAGAATATCTTAAATGAACTCTTAAACAACTGTATATAGTTACTATGTAGTTAGAGTACCTTCAAATAGCTTCAAGTCTATGACAAAAAGATGCCTGTGGACTACATGGTAACAAAAGAGAGGATGATCATTGTACCATCAAGAAGTAAAATACTTATACCAAGGGTTATTAGGTAAACATTTACATCTAGTGATTAGTGCATAGTGGAACAAAACCCTCAGGCATGATGTAGTTTACAGAATTCAGAAAGATAGGCAGACCAAGTTAAAGGTCATTCAACATGATCGTCCTCAGAAGGATAGTAGTAAGAAAATGGCCAATCGTGTAACTCTAGAGAAGAATTTGTGAACGAAAAGTAGGTCTGGAGTTCCCATTGAGACTACTTACAGAGAATCACTAAGGGTAGAGCCACCAGTGTATTACTCGACCACCAACCTAGGAAGAACATTTACAGCTCTAGGACAGCAAGTTACTACAAGTAACAAAAAGCTAGCCCATTTGTATGCTATAACCCTTGAAAAAAACACACATACACTAAAAGACTTGTTGAATGGACGGTTTAGTTTACTGTTTTTTACGATAATTGTCCAAGTTACATCATAATCCATAGAAAAGACAGTGTTATAAGCTATATTATTTTATGTTTTGGTTTAGATGTTTATTTGCTGGAGAGAGTTGCTAATCATGATGATCATGCTGCAATACCTGTAATGTTTAACACAAAATTAAAATTCAACAATGTATCTTAATTTTACGGGACGTATCTTCTTCTCTACTGGTCTCCGTCTCGTTGGCTTCTGCTTCAAGTGGGGTTCATCTGCTCCATCAGGAAACATCCTATTATCGGTAAGAGTCACATCAGTGGTAGTAACTTCATTAAGGGCTTCACTGTTTCCCCTCTCAAAACCGGGTAGAGTTTCTTCTTCGACAGTGCCATTTTCAGGTGACACGTTTTTAGCATCGTCATTTATTCTGTTTTTCACTTCGTTCCAACTGAAATTGACAGTATTGACAGAGATCTTGGCCATAACTAAATGCAGTCTTAGGTTTATCTGCTTCAGCCATTTTCACTTGATGGAAACCCGACTTAAAGTCTATAGTTGAAAACCACCTGGCTCCACTTAGCGCATCAAGAGTATCATCAATTCTTGGCAGTGGGTATGTGTCCTTTTCGGTTATACTGTTAAGAGTCCTGAAGTCCACACAGCAACGTTGGGTCCCAATCTTCTTCTGGACCAACACGACGGAAGCTGACCAGGGACTATCTGTTTTCTCTCAAACACACTCGGACTTCGCAGATCATTCGAGAAACTCATCACGCACACTACCAGCGCCAACGTGCCAGCAGCGTCACGTGACTTCCGCTGTCGTAACAATATAAATGAAATGTATAGACAACAAAACTGGAGAAATGGAATAGATTCCTGTGCTGCAGTTTGAAGAGTAAAGACGTTTGTTTTTTCTCTCAAAATTAAGCTAGCTCGTTCTCCTCTAGGCCTAAATCGGATCTAACGGCTATAGGGAATAGCAAAGCCCTATAGCATTTAAGGTTAACATCAACAACTTGTACAACAGTACCGACTAGACCGGCAATAAGCCTCATCGAATACTGGTATCTCACTAGTCCCGGCAACAAAGTCAATAAGCTACATAGGCCGATAAAGTTTCACGGTCCAAGCCTCGTCGCTAGCTGAATTACGACAGCAAAAATGAAGAATATATAAAACTACGGCCACTCATCTTAAGAAAAGCCTCAACCTTTTGTCATTTAGGTGAGTCTAGAGTGGGCGGCTTAGCATATTGTAAGTTATCAATAAATGTTGATTCAGATAACTTAGTTACATGTGCGTAGTTACAGCTTTGTAATGTAAACAACAAACGAAAGAGAGCCAGACGTTTCGCGGAAGGCCTAAACTCTACCGATAGTAGTAACCTAAGTGGTGAAAAATTAACAGGAAATGTTAATACTCAAATAAATGAAGTAACTTAAATACAAAAAAAAACACCTACTTGGATGAACAAACATGCAACAAAAGGATGAAGATGGCTTCATCCATGTACAGAAAAAACAAAAATCGAACAAAACACAAAATGACAAAATAAAAAAACCTATACAAGAACCACCAAAGTATGCCATCATCATTGAAGGCATACCAGCTACTATAAGGAACCACAACTCGCACATGAAATTCGTAAACACAAACCACAGGCAAACATACTGTCAATCTAAATATTAGCAAAGGGCGAAATACTTGTAAAAAGGGCCGAAGCCAAAGATCTAAACATGCTCCTAACAGATTGATCTGAAGAAGCTTTCAGATCTGGAAAAATCAAAATACACATTCCAGGAAGGAAACCTAACACACAAACATTTATTATACGAGGAATACACTACTCAATTAACACTGAAGTCATTCAAAATGAACTACGTACAACACAAAACAACATTATAACTGATAACTAATGGTATCAGGCTCTGGTACCAGAAGTTTCAAGTTGAAGAGACGAAAACTCCAGCTGTGGTTATCACCCAGTACTTTATCTGTCGTAGCAATATGGTCACGTAGCGGCAGATTGCAAGTCTCTACCCAGATGTGTAGGCTGTGGAGGTAACCACCTCCCAAATAAAACGACACACCACTGTGATGCAACTGTAAACAACACCACACAACTAACAACAAAGGCTGTTATAAATACAAAGAAATTAAAACAAAAATATTTAATGTAAATAACAACATACCGACAAGGAACACAACGACAACAACCAAGAAAAACTCTCTTGTCAACACCAGGCACACCAAAAACAACTACCACATACGCAAACATTATGAAACAATAACCACAACAGAAACCAACTAAAAACTCTAAAGAAACAAACAAGCAAGAAACGCAAAATCAAAATAAAGCACAAGAACAAAAACAGTTAATAACCCAATTTTTGAGGCTATTAAAAATAAAGCTAAACATTTCTTCACACAATATAAAACCCAGAAAACACAACAGACTACTTTATGAACATAGCAAAAATACACATTACACCAATTATCCCATTACTGGTCCAAAACTTAATGGGCACATTCTTCACATTAACATTCAAGGAAGTCTTGTTTCCAAGAGGCCCGAGGTCGAAGACTTAATTAATAAAACCAATCCAAATATGCTAAATAGTCAAAAATACCTTAATTTAAAAAACTATATAACAATTAGACACTACAGAATTAATAAAAATAGGGAATAGCTTTA